CCTTCCAGGGTCCTCCCCCATCTAGGGTCCTCCCCATCCAGGGTCCTCCCCATCCAGGGTCCTCCCCCATCCAGAGTCCTCCCCTTCCAGGGTCCTCCCCCATCCAGGGTCCTCCCCTTCCAGGGTCCTCTCTTCTCCATGTAGGTCTGGGGGGACTTACTCAAAATCAGTATCTTTCTTGAGTTCTGTGACTGGGCTGAAGGCCACTGCCTTTTTCCGTAGGCCAACCACACAGGCTGAGTCTGGGGCATTGGCGAACACCCGCCCTGTGGAAACAGGCATGTTGTGCGCAAGGCCAGGTCTCTGGGGACCCTCAGAAGGCAAAGTCTGGCCCCAGGACCATGCCACCTACCCTTACGGTAGACCTCCCGCAACTTCTCTGACATCCAAATCATGGCTTTCACCCCCAGCTTGGTCCCATAGTTCCGGTCAAAGGGAGTTGGAGCACCACCCTAGAAAGAAAAGCAAGTCGTGTTCCCGGTGCTGGCCGAGTCTCAAGGGAGGAGACTGACAGAGAGGGGATCCTGAGACTCCACATGAGTCCCAGGGGAGGAGACTAGACATAGAAGGGACCCTGAACCAGCACACACGTCTCCCTGTAACCTCACAGACCTCACTACCCCACCACTTCTAACCTCTTGTCCCAGTCTCTTCCTATAGTCCAGAGGGCCTCCAGAATCTAGAAGCTATCCCAGAGACCAGAATGTCCCTTGGACCTCAGAATCTATGGGCAATGGCCCCACCCCAGGCCTCCTGAGGGTACCATGAGGCAGAGGGGATTAGAAGATGGACTGGGCAGGGCCTGAGCAGCCTCTAAGAGGATGAGGGTTCAGCCCAGGGCCCAAGAGCAAGGTTTGGGTCCCAGTCCTACCCTCCAGGGATTACACCTGTAGATGTAATCTACAGTAGATGGTCCTCAGTCCTCTCATGAAGGGAGTAACAGGCACACGCTGGGGTGAACAAGAACTAAACAGCCTAATGCTCAGGGGCGTGTACAGAGAACACCCTCTGCCTCCAGGGTCCTCCTAGGATCCTGGAGAAGAAGATGGGGGTGGGAGCAGGGGACCCAACAGGTAAGCTGCACTGGGGTAGGGAGCCAGGCCTTGGAACATACACACCTGCTGCAGGTGGCCCAGCACATTGGTCCTGCAGTCAAACACACCCTTGCCTTCTGACGAGTACAGGTTGTACAGGAACTCCGTGGTGTAGTGCTCATGGCACTTCTCATTCCTGTGGAGGCACACAGAGACCACTGGGACCTGCCCTAAGTCCTGGACCCCTAGGCCAAGCCACAGGTGGGGAGGGGCAGGTAGGGAGGCAGCAGCTCCCAGGTTCCCTGGTCTTCCTTGCTCAGTGGTCTCACCGGAGCACCAGACCCCTCTGGATGTCTGTCTTCATTTTCTCTGTCATGTGCTCCACATTGGCCTGGGAAATAGGAAAAGAGCTGAGAAGAGGTGGAAGCGATGCGGGGACAGGCGAGACCACCAGCTTCTGAGAGGGCACGGCAGGGCTGCTGAGGGGCCCCTTGAAGGATGGGACTTGTGGCCACTCATGAAGGGTCCCTTCACAGGCAGTGACCCCTGTCTGAGCCAGCAAGTTTCATGTGTGTTTCAGGAGGGGCCTGGTAGGACTCACCAGTGGCTGCAGAGCACAGGAGCTGGGCTGGGCTCACCTTTAAATCGTGAATGTTGAAAGGGTCCTCGTAAACGTAGGCGGCATCAGCGCCCACAGCAATGCCCGTCACAGTGGCCAAGTAGCCGCAATAGCCCCCCATGGTCTCAACAATGAACACACGGCGCTTTGTCCCTGAGGCCGACTGCTTGATGCGGTCACAACTCTGGAGGGGTCAAGGGGACGGTCAGAGCCCAGCATAGTGGCACACAGTACTAATCTCACCAAGTCAAAGCCAGCCTGAGCTACATAGCGAGTTCTAGCCTAGCCTGAGCTACAGAATGAGACTCTGCCTCACAAAACAAAAAAGGGTCAGAATCCTCTGGGTCTCCTACCACTACCACCACAGTAGCTGGGTAGGGCCAAGCCTGGGCCATTCCTACTTAATCTGCATAAAATTAGGGGTTCACAAGTGGGAGGGCCTACACACGGGTCACAGACAATGGTCAGGAGACAGTTTTGGTTGTTACTGGCACTGCATGGGGAAGGACCAGGGACCCACTGACCCCTGCAGCAGCACTTCTGCCCCTGGGGCCACTAGAGAGCACAACTGGACAGCACAAGAGGGTGACATGTAGCAGTAACGCTAGCCATAGATGGATCGGTTTGAAAAGAGTAAAGAGTGCTGGAGCTGGAGAGACAGCTCAGCAGCTAAGAGCACCAGCTGCTCCTGAGGACCTGGCTCGGTTCCCAGCACCCACATGGCAGCTCACAACCACCTGTAACTCCAGTTCCAGGGACCTGATGCCCTTTTCTGGCCGCCTTGGGTGTACATACACACATGCAGGCAAAACACCCATACACATAATTTTTTTTTAATTTTATAAGATTGATAAAAGTAGAAAACAACAACCTAAGAAGTGTTAGTAGGGTCTAAACCCTGGGTGAAAGCCCAGATGTGGATGTTGGCTGCGGCGGGTGCCTGAGAACCGGTATCTCATCTAGACAGCTTGCCAGGCAAGGACAAAGGGCTAGCGTAGGCTAGAAAGGCTGTGGTAGGCAATGAGAAGCATATCCTGCAGGCACACCAATGACCAGCAGGTGCAAGCTTTCCACTTTCCAGAAACCAGAGCTGCCCAAGCACCTGATCCCACAACCTGGGCCCATCTGGTACTAGTGGCTGACTGGAGCCCTGCCCGCCCCTTATCCTGGCCCTAACCCTGGGAAGCCCACCTGGCCTGATTTCACTCTGCAGGGCCCCTCACCTCCATGGCAGCATTGACGGCTGTGTCTGAGCCCAGGCTGAAGTCAGTGCCAGGCACGTTGTTGCTGATGGTGGCCGGGATGACACACATGACGATGCAGAGCTCCTCATAGCGTCCCCGTGCCTCTACGAGCTGCAGCACCCCCTCGTAGGCCTAAGGGCAGGAAAGGAAAGGAGGCAGGGGAGGGATGAGGCAGGGCCAAGGCCCAGGAAGGACAGAGCCAGGCTCCTCCAGGGCAGTGGTACCATCTTGCCTTCCCCCACAGATACCTAATGAGGACCAGAGGATCCCAGTCAAGCCGCTGAATCCAGAGCCACCCCATGCTCACGGTAAGGACTTACCAAACACCAGAGCATAGCATCAGTGGCCTCCTAGGCCTCTTCCCTCCTAGCCTTCCACCCGACTCCTGCCTCCCTCCTCCCCCACACTGGGCTAACTGTACCACCTCATGAGGCCTTCAGAAGGTAAAAACCCCAGCCCCAATCCCACACTTGACAGCACTGACCCTCTGCCCACCCCCGCCTGAGTCAGCACTGGAATGCAGCTGCACCCACACGAGGCAACAAAGCTCACCTCAAAGCCCCCAACGACCAGCAGGGCATGGATATTGTAGGTGCGGAGGTTATCCACGATGGCCTCCAGGTGGTTCTTGGGCAGCGTCCTGTGGTTGGAGATATGTCAGTCTGGAAAGGTGGTGTGCAACATACCAAAGTGTGTCTCATCCCAAAAAATGTGTGGCTTGATCCTTCCCAGAGCCAGCAGTCACTCACTGAAGGCTACATCCATGTGGCTCCAAGGGGGACGGGGACCCGCAGGCCAGTGTGTGAGGCCTGGCCATGCCTCAGCAACCTCCCTGATCGCTCCTAGCGATGAGCAAACCCTGCTTATCAGCCTGCCCTGGATGCTCCTTCTGCCCGAGGCTGCCTCTCAGACAGGGATGCTTTCTGCAGCCCTTGCAGCCTCACAGGCTTGGGTGCAATGATCTCTCACGATCACACAAGGTGACCATGGAGGATCTCAAACCCATCCTAAGATCACTAGGTCCTGACATAAAAACCACAGCAGCAGTCAGGGTGGGTAGCTGAGGCAGTCCTCACTGAGGGACACTTATGCTCCAGCTCTCTCTTACTGAGCACCTTGGTACTGCAGGACAGGTATAGCCACTGAGCTGCCCCTCTGTCCAGCTGAGCACAGGTGAGCCCTTAGTAGGAGACCCTGGGCTACAGCCAGAAGGGGACCAGCCTCGGCTGCAGGGCTGGGATTGCCCTGCCTGCCCCCTTGGCTATGCTGCGCACTGTCCAGCAGCAATCTACTCACCTCTTGGTCCCCAGCACTGAGCCGCCACGCCCCAGCCAGCCGGCTACATCATGCCAGCTCACTTCTTGCACCTGTCAAGAGAACATGGCTTCAGGAGGGTGGCCGGATGTCTTACCAGCTCGTCCTCTGGCAGGGCCCACTGGTGGCTGGCTGACACCTCACAACTGGGGCTGAGTCTCTGGGCTGGTAAGAGGACACAGCCCTTTGCCCCCTCCTCCCCATGGGCTGCTATGTCTCTTCATGTGCCTGAACTGGGCTGTTCTGTGCACATCCAGCACCATTCAGAGCCTGCATCACCATAGCACCTACCTGACCTTTGGCCAGGCCTTCGAAGCCATCATGCACAACATACACCGTGTGGCCCTGGGAGATGCCAGTGCGTACTGCGGAGCGCACAGCTGCATTCATGCCAGCTGCGGGGGCTCCCACGTTCAGGATGGCCAGGGAGAAGTTGGTCTTCAGAAAGAAGAAAGGAACGAAGAATGTGGGCCATGGGACCAAATAGTTCCCCAGGCAGCCTGGATGTTGTGCACCATACCAGCTCTCCTGAGAGTAATTTATCTGTTCTACTCATTCCAGAAGGTTGTGGGAAAGACTAATTGAAACAAGGTACAAGCCTAGCATACTCTGCAAGGTCCCCAGGCAAAGTAAACGGACACTACTACCACAGTCGGGCTCACGGGCACAGCCTGATAGGCTGGGTAAACAGCTGCTATAAAGTCCTTGGCCATCACTCATCCTCACTCAGGGCAAGAATGGAACAACCAGTTGGCTAGGTGTTATGGTCACCTGTCTCATAGTAGCTACATTGTACCAGGGACACCAACTTTGGTGCTACACTGACATAACCCAAAACACCCACAATACTATTGAGTTCGGTGTTCCAGTCTGGAGGATCTGGACAGAGCCCTGTCCTGATCCCTGGGCTAGTAGGAACCGGCCTCTTCATCACCCTTGCTTTGGACCTTCCCCCAGGTCTCAGCCGTGGGGAACAACTCATCCACACTGGCACCTGTCCCCAAGTAACACCAGGGCCACTTCCTTCAGCAGGCTGAGAAGCAGCCACACACACTGCAGCTGGTCCCTGTGGCCACAAGCAAAGCTGAGCCCCGCCCTCAGTGCATAGCTGAGACCCAAGGCAGGAGGAAGGAGCCCCAAGCTTGCAACTCCCCAGGAGGCAGGCATCAGGACAGCAGCCAGGCATGGAGATGTGTAAGTGCAGTCCTGGGCTCTGCCTTCTCCCTCACCTTCTCCGTGGAGACCTTCTGGTGGGCAAGGAGTTTGTAAATTTTCCAGTTGTTCTCGAAGCTCCTGGAAAGGAAGTGGGTCATGCAGGTTGCAGCCTCACCGCCGTGATGAACTCAGGGTAGCATGAGGCCAGCTGCCCAGCAGAGGAGGTATAGGGTGGGCATGCCCAGGGCTCCAGGGTGCAGAGGGTCCTTAACACAGGGCTAGAACTCAGCCCCAAAGGAGCCAGAACTCATGCAGCTGGCTTGTCCTGTTGCCACACCGTGAGTGGGTACACCTTCAACAGCCACTACGAGACCCACAGGAAACACAAGGCTGCATTCCCTAACACGGTAAAACCCATGGTTTGGCACCCAGCCTGCTGCCTACTTACAGCCTCAGAGGACTGGGGGGTGGGCATGCCCAGGGCTCCAGGGTGCAGAGGGTCCTTAACACAGGGCTGGCAGAAGATTGAGACCTGTAGGTACCCAGCCTGCCTACAGCCTCAGCATGCCCAGGGCTCCAGGGTGCAGAGGGTCCTTAACACAGGCCTGGCAGAAGATTGAGACCTGTAGGTACCCAGCCTGCCTACAGCCTCAGAGTGCTGAAACAGCATCCAGACCTGCACATGGAGCAGGACCAGGTGTCTGTAGGTACCCAGCCTGCCTATAGCCTCAGAGTGCTGAAACACAGTATCCAGACCCGCACATGGAGCAGGACCAGGTGTCTGTAGGTACCCAGCCTGCCTACAGCCTCAGAGTGCTGAGACACAGCATCCAGACCCGCACATGCAGCAGGTACCCAGCCTGCCTACCCACCACAGCCTCAGAGTGCTGAAACACGGCATCCAGACCCGCACATGCAGCAGGTACCCAGCCTGCCTACCCACCACAGCCTTAGAGTGCTGAAACACAGCATCCAGACCCGCACATGCAGCAGGACCAGGTGTCTGTAGGTACCCAGCCTGCCTACCCACCACAGCCTCAGAGTGCTGAAACACGGCATCCAGACCCGCACATGCAGCAGGACCAGGTGTCTGTAGGAGGTGGCACCCCATGCCACCAGGGACAAGAACCCACATACCTGCTGGCCTTCCCTGTCCTCTAATCAGGCACCACCCACAGCATCCCAAGCTTGGCCAGGAGCCCTGTGACCTGGGTGTTGTCTGCCCTGCAGCACCACCACCCCATGCTCTGTTGGTCCTGCCCTGGCTACCAACCACCCACACGTACTCCATACCCCATGGGTAGCATTGTCACCTCAGTGACTACCTCTCAGCTCCTCCAATGATGGGCACTCATTTAGAACACTGAGGCCCCACACCCCCAGGTCACTGTCTTGGCAGTAAGTGCAGGCCCATGCCCCACTTTAACCTTTGCTGTCTGAAAGGACAGCCACCCTTACCTGCCTCGGAGCTGGATGGCCTCGTCAAACCTCTTGTCATCCATGGCCTTCTGCACATCCTTTGTCTTAAAGAAGAAAAGAGGAAGCAGGCTGTCAAGGAAGCTAGCCTACACTTACAGACACAGCCTGTTGGTCTCAAGGAGAGAGGCTTGGACATGTTCATGTCCTAGGCCCAGTCTCAGGAGGCCCAGGAGGTCCCACCTGGTTCCAGACATGAGTCCTCCCCAACCAGGGCAACCCCAACCTCACTGTGCCTCAATGCCCCCAGGATCTGACCAGGGCCTTGGGAATGGAGATGACCCTAGGTCCACAGCCAATACTCAGCATGGCTCAAAACAAGGCCAGGCAGGTCAGGTCTCCCAAGAAGAGTACCAGGAATGCCAAGCCTCCCTCTCGCACTACAGCCCATCATTACTAACAAGTCCCATCTATCCCTAGCCCACCATTCCCAGCAAGCCCCTACTGCCCCTAGCCCACCATTCCTCACATGATCTATCTGCCCCCCAGCTGCAGGGCCCTCAAACCTGCCTGAGCCAGGGCCAGCACCCTCCTGCTCAGCCTCACAGCCCCTCTGCCCTCACCTGTACCCCATCCTGGTAAGCCTGCTCTGGCCACTCAGTACCCACCTACCAGAGCCTTACCAAATGTTCCCTCTTTGTCCCTCCTGTCCTAACCCCAAAACCCTAGGCCTACTCACTTTCAAAGGTCAGCCCAAAGCCACTGCCCCAAGAAGCCGAGACCTCCTTGGGTACCCCAGCTACCTGGCTACCCGTCCTCCCCTCTGGCCAGCTTCCGTGGCTCCCTGAAGCCCAATAGTTCCTTCCTCCCACCCTATAATACACACATGAGCAGCAGGACAGAGGGAGGCCCTGGGAGGGCAGGGTTTCAGCTGGGGGGGCCCAGCACTCACCACTTGCACACACTCCATGAGTGGCAGGCGCACAGACTGGTTCCCGGAGAGGCTGACCACGCAGGCTGGCGTGTCAGGCGTGGCCTCCAGCAGTGCCATCACGGCCTCCATGCCCATCTTGCTGCTCTGCACACGAGTGGGCAGCATGGGTCAGGCTGGGGCAGCCCGTCCCCCCACCTCCCCAAAAGCTGCAGTCACTCACCCACCTGCCCTGCAAATCAGCAGCATGGTCCATCTGTAGACACACAAACCCTGGCTTCTGAGCCCCCACATTAGCCCAGGCTCCCCAAACATGGTGACCTAGTATGATCAGCAGTCATAACAGCCTATCAGGCCTCATTTCCCAGAGTCCCCACAGGCTGGCTAGATCTGGCCCTGGCTCAGAGAGTTGCTGTGGTGGGACTGGAGCATGGTCTCTTGGCCTGAGAGTGATGGGTGGGGGGCCAGGGGAGGAGGGGGCGGAAAGCCAGAGCTCCAGAGCTCCAGGGCTCCAGGGTCCCTTCTACAAGACTCCTGAATCGTGAGTATGGGCTGATGGACTGGGACAACTAAATCACCAAGAACTGCTCCATAGGGGACAGATCACAGCTGCAGCTTCAGGTACAGTCAAGAGGACAGCAGATAGACAAAAAGGCAGGACCAGGACCAATGGGAGATGGGCTTCATGGGCACGAGGCAGTGGTCCTCTCACTTCCGGGTCGTCCCAGTCCATTTGCTGGCTATTAGATACTCCAGTCCTCCATCACCTTGGTGAGTTCCTGCAGGTCCTGTGAGCAAGGCTCTGACTGACTGCTTGTGGCTCTAGACTCTTCCACAATGCTTCTGTAACAGCCCTGGCCGTGATCAGGGCTCTGCAAGGAACAGCTGGCTGAAGGAGCACTGTGAGCAGATACCACCTGACTATCCCGTCATCCTGGAGGCATCTGGGCTCAGGCACAAGCATGGTGCTGTTGACATTTGGCTGCAGTGAGCTGTCCTGTCTTCTGCCTCTGCCCAGGCATGTTGTGTCTTCAACAAGCATCCAGGGCACTGGCTAGACAGTCTATTACCTGAAGACATGGTGACCTCAGGCCACCTCAGCTCTTGGTTGGGTGGTGGATGGCTTGTCCTCAAGTCTCAGGCTCCTCATAGGCACTTTGGAGGTTCCTGAATTCTTGTGTAAGGTGCAAGAGGGTCCTGGGTGGGCCAGCGAGGCTCATCTCTGTGTCTAACTCTGTGGCAGATTCGAGAGATGGTACAGCAGGGATCTCGGCTCAGCACAGTAGATGTGGTGTGCACAGGGCTGAACCAGCACCATCTGGTCTCATATCAGTGTGGTTCTGTCTGTTGGGCAGTCTCTGACCCTGCTCCTTGGGAGAGCCCTCATATGCAGGCTCTAGCCCACACATGGGCTCTCCTGGCCACAATCTACCTCCATTTGGCTCTTATATGACACGATTCTGCAGCGGTCTCAGGAGGAATCTGAGCAGCCAGGAGACAGCCAAGCTCCTTGGCCCAATCCTCTGCTCACCTTGCCCCTTCTCACAGGGACCTGCCCATGTCACCAAGAGGATCTAACACCTCAACTGCTGGACTGCTGATGCATGCAAGGGAGAGGGCAAGCAAGGCGTCAGTGACAGAGGCAGGCTCCTATGGTCCCCAGGCCCAAGTTTCTTATGGCCACAGACAGTGGGAGGCAGGCCCCAGCTCCTTTTGAAAGACAGGAGCTGCTCACCCATGGACAGCACTGACACAGCATGTGAGTGCACACGCATGCACGCAGACACACACACACACACACACACACACACACATGCATGCATGCACTAACGGGCACACCTGTATGCCCAGGCAGAGGCTTGTCAACCTACCAAGATACGGTCGAAAGCTGAGGGTGTCCCTCCACGCTGCACGTGGCCCAGCACAGTTACTCGAGTATCGAAGCCCAGCCTCTGGACTACGAGCTGTTTAGGAGAGGCAGAGGGTCTGTGGGCTCCTGCCCCAACTGCTGTCCAGCCACCTGTGGGCCTCAGTCCCATAGGTCCACCCATACCTACCCTTAGGTTTTCAGACAACCCTGTGGGTCCCCAGGGCCAGCAGGAAACTAGCCACGCCATCTAAGTATAGGGTTCACGTGAGTGTGTGTGAGTGTACATGGAGGGGTCCATGTGTATATAGAGGTGTATCTGTGTGTATAGAGAGGTACATGTTTCATGGCCTACATTCCTGGCTGCTCAGAGCTTGACATGGTCTCTGTTTCCACTGCTCAGTCTCCCCTGGGGCCCTGGGTCTGGGGTGTAGCAGAGGCTACATGGGGCACAATCACTGGGAAGGGGGCCTAGGGAGGACTGAGGCCAGAGCCGTGCATCGCTGTAGCAGGGGCCCCAGAGCAGGCCAGATACCACAGGAATGCTCCACTCCTAACGTCCCAGTTGTTCATTTTGTTTTACTTTGTTTCGTCTTGTTTTGAGACAGTTTCATTCAGTAGACAAGCTGGCCTAGAACTTGCTGCAGAGCCTAAGCTTGCAGATGATCCTCTACCTCAGCTTCCCGAGTACAGATGTGCACCACCACGTCTGGCAAATCTAAGCCACTGGGCTGTGAGTCCAACATGGGGTGGTAGGCACCCCGTCATCTAAGAAACCAACAGTGCTATGCCTGGACATGGGGGTGCTGGGGTTCAGCTACAGAGACCTGAATGAAGTCAGGTTCCAAAGGGTGGGCTCCCAACATGGAGGGACCTGACCCCAGCCTACCAGCCTACATTTGACACTATCAGGATGAGGAAGCATCCCCCAGTGCTGGGCCCAGGAAGAGGTCGCCCCGGGACCAGCACCTCGCCAGGCTGCTGGTATACTTACGTCCTTCACGTAGCTGGACGAGATGGGCTTCCCGTGCCGATCAATGGCCCCCTCAGCAATGATGATGATGTTTAGTCTTGAACCCCGGCTCCGCGTCTGTCAGAGACACCAGACCCACTCTCCAGGCATGAGCTACTGTGCATCACCACCAGGTACAGCAAGCCTCACAGGGATGCCGCACACACAGCCCACCTGAGGACAGTACTCTCTCCCACCTTGCAGGAGGAGGTGACGGTAGAGATGAGTCCAAGCAAGCAGGACGCTACTGCCCCCCGTGGGAATTCCTACAGGCAGCTAACACTTGGGTGCTCTCTTTTAAAAATACTTTATGTATTAGGGCCAGGCGTGGTGGCACACGCCTTTAATCCCAGCACTTGGGAGGCAGAGGCAGACGGATCTCTGTGAGTTCAAGGCCAGCTTCGTCTAAATAGTGAGTTCCAGGACAGCTGGGGCTACAGGGAGACCCTGTCTCAAAAGGACAATAAAAAAAACAAAAAACCTTTATGTATTATTTTTACTTCATGTGTATGAGTGTGCTTGCATGTATATAAGTACACCCATGTTGTGCAATGCCCATGGAGATCAGACAAGGGCGTTGGATCCCCTGAAACTGTAGCTATAGACAGGTGTGAGTTGCCATGTGGGTGCTGGGAATTGAACCCAGTGCTCTTAACCGTTAAGTAATCTTTCTATCCCTATTTATTTTTATTTTATGTGTATGAGTGTTAGGCTTACATGTAAGGGCACTCATGTCACGCAGTGCCCTCAGAGGACAGAGAGGGTGTTGGATCCCCTGGAACTGGAATTACTGTTGTTAGCCATCATGTGGGTGCTTGGGATTCGAATCCAGGTCTTCTAAAAGGGTAGTCAGTGGCCTTAACCACTGAGCCATCTCTCTAGTCCCTCAGGCCCCCTTCACAGACTGTCTCTGTACTCTTTAATAGGGGACCTTCCAGTGCTGACCAGAGCTAGGAGTTCCAGACACTCTCTACCCTGGAACTACTGGGCAGGCTTCAGGTAACACAGGTACCACATGCTCAGCTCACCATCACAGAGCACTCTGGGAAATGTAAAGCATTTTTACTCCTTCACTTCAGTGATCCCACAAACCTTCATGGAATTCACTGTGACATACAAGTCTACAAGCCTGTGGTGACCCCAAGAGCCTCATCAGGGACACAGGGTGGGAGCACTTAATGAGAGGCCAGGTGTAGTGGGGCTGGAGCAATACAGGGCTGCATGGAGTAGGTGGCACTGGCAGGGCAGACCTCCAGGCCAAGGCTGCAGGTGAAGTGTAAGAGCCAGGACTGGCCCTCCTGTCCCTCATTGATGCCCGAGCAATGGACAAGCCAGGAGACACCTACAGGCAAGAGAGAACTCAGGGACTAACCCACGTTAAGGCAACATGGCCACCACGCCCCACCCTGCACTGCAGCCTGGGTCCAGGGGCAGCCAGGCCTTGCCCACTATGTTCCACCTCCACTCCGCCTGTGGCTTCACTTAGGGATATTCCAGAAGTCAGGTATGACCCCAAGGAGGCTCCATTGCTCTGAACAGGCACCACAGCCACAGAGAAGAAGCCCTACCTTCCCTGGGTTCAGGAACCTCTGCTACCCCAGGGCTGGTCACATGGGTCTGTCTCTCCCTCAGAAGATAGACCACTTCTCAGAATATAGAAATCAAAAAGCCAGAGCGAAAGTCACTGAGCAGATAGACACATGAGTGAGCCTCACCCTGACCAAGAGCCCATCCTGTCCTACCTGGGGGCCTTGGAGTCTACAGGTCAGAGTAAACCACAGTCACCTCACCTCCAATGTGAGAGCTGTGGTTCCAGGCAGCCACTCTAGGCCCAGGGACCAGCCCCCTCCCCAGCTCTCAGAGGGGCCTCTCCTCCTAGCTGTCTCCTGTCTTTCCTGCTTCCAGGGCCCCTGTTCAGAACCTGGTCCACACAAGCCACAGGAACCTCTGGTCACCTAGCTCCCTGACTTAGAACCCATTGCCCTCAGGGGGAACATGGACCTGGTGGACGAGCGACTGGTCCCCAGCCCTCTCACCACCCTAATCCTACCCTCTGAACCTTTCGCAGGGTTACCTCTCCTGCTGGTCACCGCTGTAGGCCCTGGCTCATGAGGCCACCTCTCCGTGGCCAGTGCCCCAGAGAAACTAATTCATCATGTTCCCATACTGGTCACACGGAGCTGACCACAGTATATCCACGGTCAGTGCCACGGCTCTCCCACAGCCATGTTCACTTGTCAGTGTTGTAGCCTTCCCCAGGTCAGTGCTGTGACCCTCCCACAGGTGCATGCAGCGGTCAGCACCACAACCCTCACACAGGTATGTGCACCCTGCAAGTCTGCACTGTGAGCCTCCCTCAGGTGTGTCCAGCAGTCAGTGCTGTGACCTTTGCAGCATCCCCAAGGGAGCGGACAGATGCTACTGAACCAGTGAGCAAACGATCGTATCTCAGACACCATTCAGTGTCCCCTGAGGACACCTGCATTTTAGGACCCCTGATGGGCTGCAGTAGAGACCCCTGTCGGCCACTCACCTCACCCAGCCTCTCACACATAAAGTTCTCCCAGCCATCCTCAGGGGGTGCCTCAGGGATGAACAGCCAGTCGGCCCCCGAGGCCAGCGCAGACACCAGTGCCAGGTACCTGGAGGAGCGGAGGGCCAGCCTGCTCAGGACTCCCTTTCCATCTCTCCCCTGCCCCTCGCCTGAGCTCCCTCACACTTGTAGCATTGAGAACCTGGTGCAGGTCAGACACTATGTGTCCCCACCCCTACTGCCCCCAGCAGCCCCCAGGTGCCCCACCCCTCCCTGCTGACTGACACAGCCTTCCTTACCCACAGTGACGCCCCATCACCTCCAGTACAAAGGTCCTCTGGTGGCTGTGGAGATGGACGGGGTGGAGGTATCAGTGCCAGGGCTCATGGACCACATAGCTCAGCCCTCCTGACCAGTCTGAGAAGACAGGGTGTTGGCAAAGGACAGTGCCCTCTCCTTAAGCCCGAGCCAGTTCTGACCCATCTTCTGGCTGAGGCTGAGAGTCAAGTACTGGTCCAAACCTGGTCATCCCTGATCAGAGCCCAAGAACCCCCTACAGGTGCACTACCACCCTGGAGTAAGCTGTCTCTGTCAGCTGGGGTATTGCTGATGCCCCATGGCCACCTGGCAGGGTGGGAGCTGACCCCAGGATCTCCTCCAGTCAAGGGTGCTGGCCTGGAAGCCAATGGATGGAGCCCCATTGCCCCTGCAGAGTGGCTGTCCCCACGGGGTCAATCTCATCACCATGAGAACACAGGGACCCCATGCCAGCCCTGCCCAGGCGGCGTGGCCCCCTCACCTCTGGGCAGTGGTAGTGATGGCGTCAATGACCTCCATGATGCGGTGCAGTGCCGAGTCTGTGCCGATGGTCATGTCAGTGCCACAGAAGTCATTATCGATGGAGCCCACCAGCCCAGCAATGCTCAGGTGCGCGTAGGTCTGAGCTGTGGACTCTGAGATCTTACCTATGCCACAGAACCAAAGGCCTGGTGAGGGCCGCAACTCCACCAGCTGCCTCAGCCACCACACCCTTCTCTCCACCATCTGCCATCTATTGTGGGTGCAGCCCAGGCCTAGCTCACTCCATCCTAGGAAGCTTGCCACCCCACAAGGAGTGTCCAGGGGACCTGCAGGGCACTGCGCTCCTGCTTCCCCATGGGTAGCACTTAAGTGATGGTCCCCTTCTAAGCAGCAACCTTGGGACTATGTCTAATGGCACCCCAACTGTAGCTACCACTGCCAACAGTGACAGTCTGTGCCCCATGTCCAGACTCTCTTGGGAATCAGTTACAAGCAAGACCACCATGCAGCTGGAGCAGGCTATGCTGGAGTAGTGGGTATTCCTGGGCTCCTTGATGCCAGGCGCCTGGGGCTTGTACCAACCTCACCGCTGGTAGCCTGACCCATATCTGGAGCACTCCGGAGTCTGGACTCCGTGGTTCCCCCCCGGCCAGTGGCCAGAGAGCATCTCATCTGCCCCAGAGGGGATTCAGCTCCCCAACACCTTCAGAGCCAGGTAAAGCCCTGGGTCTTGGATAAGGTGTCCACTGGCTCCACACAGACCCACCTTCCTTCACCAGCTCCTCCAGCAGGCTGGGCCACTCGCTGCGGAAGATGTTGGCGCCCGTGAGGCTACCATCCCCACCGATGACACACAGGTTGGTGATGCCACGCTGGACTAGGTTGTAGGCCGCTGCCAGGCGTCCCTCCTTTGTGGTGAAGGCCTTGCAGCGGGCACTGCCGATGATGGTGCCACCCTGCATGGAAGAGGCCGGAGCCTTCAGATGGGATGGCGGGTGGTAAAAGGTCCTTTGAGGCATGAGAGGGATGCCACTGCTGATGAGCAAGGAGATGGGTGGGCTCAACAGAATTAGAGAGGGAAGTCAAGGAGTGTCTCTTGTGGCAACCCCCTGGCTCAAGACCTGAGGCATTTGGAGTTTCTACAAGGAATGGGGCAAGAAGGTTCAGAACTGGAAAGCCACACACGTACACACACACACACACACGTACACACATATACACACGTACACATACGCACACACACGCACACATACGCACACACCACACACACATACACACACGCGCACACACCACACACACGTACACACACACGTACACACCACACACACGTACACACCACACATGTACACACCACATACACACACACACATACACACCACACACGCGTACACACCACACATACGTACACACCACATATACACACACGCATGCACACACACGCATGCACACACACACACCACACACACGTACACACCACATATACACACACGTACACACCACACACACGTACACACCACATATACACACACACGTACACACCACACACACGTACACACCACACACATGTACACACACGTGCACACGTACACACATACCACACACACGCATACATATGCACACATACAGACATCTACACACCCATACATGTGCATATATACGTGCATAAACACATGCATATACACAAGCATGTTCACACATGCATATACACAAATGCTGTTCCTGAGGCCTACTGGCTCAGTGCTTATGGCACCATCCCCCAGGAAAAGTTGACTCCTCCCTGTCTCCACCCACAGCCTCATGGCCCAGACTACCTGGTCTGGGCCTGGACCCCTCTCAGACTCCCAGTAGCCCTTTTGCCCGCTGGTAACCCCTCAACCCGTGACCCCCCTGACCCAACACTATAGCAGGCAGAAGATAAGGCCCGTCTAGAGCTGAGCCCCTGTATGTGTGTGTGTGTGTATGGTGTGTGTGTACGTGTGTGTGTGTGTGTGTGTGTGTATATGCACACCCACATGTGCTCAAATGCTCCCAAGGTGGGAAGGAACTACCTGGCCGAGTCTTACCAACTGGATGATGTTGGAGACGCTAAGCCAAGTGGCCGGTTTGATGTTCTCACCTCCTTCCACAAGACCTTCGTAGCCCTGAAAGCAAAGGAGGACAGCATGAGGCAGTGGCCAGACAGCAGCCATATACGGGCGACACTGTCCTCACCAGCAGGAAGCAGACTTAAGGGGCCCAATCTCAAGCCTACCACTCCCAGTAACCTACGTGGGGCTCTGAACACCCAGGCATGGGCAGTCACCCAGGGAGTATCCCCAGGCTGAGCTGTCACCGCACCAACTGGAGGGTCATGGCCAGGACACAGAAGCCCCCAGGGAAGCCCACTGTCCTGTTGATTCGATCTGGCCAGTGTGAGTGGTCAGAATGACCTTGCTGAGGGCCGAGGGCCTCACTGCTGCTACTGCTGCTGCTCCTACAGCTGGGTGCTGTGAGTGCTTCTTGCTACGTGACAATATAGTGTGTCCCATCCATGGACACGCCTACGTGGGGCTCTGAACACCCAGGCATGGGCAGTCACCCAGGGAGTATCCCCAGGCTGAGCTGTCACCGCACCAACTGGAGGGTCATGGCCAGGACACAGAAGCCCCCAGGGAAGCCCACTGTCCTGTTGATTTGATCTGGCCAGTGTGAGTGGTCGGAATGACCTTGCTGAGGGCCGAGGGCCTCACTGCTGCTACTGCTGCTGCTCCTACAGCTGGGTGCTTCTTGCTACGTGACAATATAGTGTGTCCCATCCATGGACACATGGCAGTCCTACAGTTGGAGAGAAGGCAGTCTACCATGAACACACACCCCTAGGGGGACGTTGCATGCATTTTAGGTAGGAAGGCCTACTCCAAGAGGGAACCCATGAGTCCCATGGATTCATGGGTAGCCACAGAGGACAATGTCCCACAGAGTCCCCAGGTGCCTGTGGCCAGCTCCTTGCCTTAGAGGAAAGTAATGTGGGTTCAGGGCTCCGCAGCCTATAGCACTGGGCAACGTCAGTCTTTCATCCTTAGGGATGTCAACTGGCCCCTCATGGGGGTTCAACTTTGCCTCCCTGCTAACCTCTGCTGCAGGCTATCAGACAGCCAGGTGACAAATGCCTGTTCCTCTACCACACTGGGGTATCGGTCTGCAGGTCTGTACACAGGCTGGTCAGAGGATGTGGGTGTTTCACAAGTGGGTAAAAGGCTAAAGGGATGGCCTCCTCCATGCAGCCTCCAGGCCTTCAGGGGATACCACTAGCCTTCCAGTCCCAGGGAGAAGTGGACACACTGTGCTTGGCCTAGGCTGTCCAGTTCAGCTCTGAGCCTCTGCTCCTCCCTGGCCTCTTCCCCAGCTGAATGGTAAGGCCCTTGAGGGTGGGCAGTACACAGCATGGGCACAGTGAAGGGCCAGCTCAGGCCACAGCAATCACACAAGCAGCTCTGCCTCCACCCCTGGAACCAACCAGAAGGTTCTCAAGAGCCCCAAGAAGATGAGGCACTCCCGTCTGAGGGCTGGAGTGGCCTTCCCCAGTGAAGGGCCAGCTCAGGCCACAGCAATCACACAAGCAGCTCTGCCTCCAACCCTGGAACCAACCAGAAGGTTCTCAAGAGCCCCAAGAAGATGAGGCATCCCCGTCTGAGGGCTGGAGTGGCCTTCCTGGCTCAGGCCAGGCCACCTGTACCTCCTCTGGGTACTCAAGACTGCCAACTACACATGGAAAAAGCAGGAACATTTTTCTAAAACCCACAACACTGCCTGAGTATGCCACTAAGAATCAGAGAGGCCTGTCTGCAAAACCCTGTTAGGCAGAGTCCTGCACAAGGTGCCAACCTGGCCCTGCTCTGCTGGGTGGGCAGCAGGTAATGTGGGCCCAGCAGGCCCTGAGATCTCAAGGAAGTGTGTGGTATCTATGGAGACCACCTCTCACATAGCCCCTTTGTGTCCCCGGACCCCTAGATGTCTGTGTGCCTCCAATCCCAGGGTCACCCCTTCTGGCCCATTTGTCCTCTTCTGTACAGCCCAGTCCCTAGGCAGCCCCTGAGCTAGTTCTGAGGCAGGATAAGGACAGGAAAAGCTATGCCGACATGGGAAGGGTCACAAGAACGAAAAGACCCCCCACATCCTGGGATCTGCTGCCGTTCCTGTCATCAGAGAACTTCAGACACCACTGCTAAAGCCAAAATCTCCTACTGAATCAAGACATGGTTCCTACAGAGGCTCCGAAAAGGTCAAGGACAGTAAATCAACTGTGCCCACCTAGGCCCAGAAAGCTCCATAACCTCAAGTTTCCAGAAATGCTCTCTCATTCCTAAATCTAACAATGCCCCTC